CAGCGTCTGTCTGGCTGAAACATGAGAGGACAGGAGGTTTTTTATTTAATTGGTGCAAGATAAAAAAGAACGGTGGGTTAGGATTGACATACTCTGACTTACATGACTCACAGAGAGAGGACCCACATGAAACTGTGCATAATGTGTGCACAAACATATTTTTAATACTTCTCTTTAGTTGTTGCCTGAACTCACTGCAAACATTGCTGTCTATCCAGCAGGTGGCGTTCTTCATCAGGAGTCCAGATGACTGCCTTTTCAGCAAAATTTGCATCCTTTGCAAGTTTTCTTTCCAAAGTATGATGAAACCAAAGATAGGTGGTTGATTCCATACAGGAAAAATGTTTTACTGATGGATTTCATGTAAGATAGTAAGATGTCTGCTATGCCACTAGACCTAAGAATAATACGATACAAAGATAAGTTACTGATGTGTTCAACAATCAAATATAAATGTAGATATGTAATTGAACTCTGCCAAAAGATGGATTAAGGAAGTTTGTTTTCATATTTAGAGTTTAGTGTAGAGTGTCATCATGAGAGCAATATCTGTACCATATGATGCAATCAGGATGCAACATTGCTGTAACGGCCTTTCAAAGACTGTTGTGAGCAATCTCTCCAACCAAAGACTGCAGAAAACATAGACATACTGTTGCATTTGTAACATCAGTCTTATATTTGGGTTGTTTTGGCAATTTGGGTAAAAGCCAAAGAGTCTGTGAAAGTTGAGGTGGTACAAGAAAACTTTGCTGCTGTGTGGGTCTCCAGAAAACCTAAACTGCATATGAGAAGTTGCAACCTGCTTTGCCACAACTGAGATGAAATATTGTGCAGCAAAAAGAATTTCAAGGGACGGGTTTGCACTTGTTAGATAAATCCTAACCCAACAGAAAGTATAAAGTGTTAATGTCACTTCTACAATGAGTCAAAGGTATAATTTGCAATTAGTTCCAAACCTTAAAAATGAATGCAGTTAGAAACTATCCCTCTGACATAAGTCACTCCCCAGCTTTATTTCATTGTTTACGTGTACTGCTGGTATGTCTTTAATTACATTTAGATTTTAACCTTTTATTTCTTTCTGGCAGTTCCACACAACTGGGCATTGAGAGTTTCAAAAAGTTTCTGCATCATGTTCATTCTGTGTACAATAATTGCTCAGCTGTGTATTTGAACACTACTCGGTGTGAACCGACATGTTCATGCGAACACTGCAGGCCGCAGGTGGGGTTAAAGGTGGCATTTCCAGGTGTACACAGCTGGATAGAGCTCACACGAATTCCAGTGGGATTATTTTATTAAGAAATTGGGGCCCATATTTCCAAGCTTTACACCTGCTGCTGGAACAAATGTTTCATGACCAACTGTAAAGCTGCGACTGAACTATAGCATGTCGCTATAGATCTGAAATGGAAAACTGGACACTTCCCTGTGAAGCCCTGCAGGGTACAGATTTGCTTTTCTGATGTGAGCCCTGTCAGAGTCATGAGTAAGAAGGACTAATGCTTTTGTATGGCAGCCAGTGGCGAGAAAGTAATAAAGCTGACTGTTGAGTGCACACAGGAGGGTTAAGCTTAATGCTGCTGTATGTTTAAAATCACTTCCTTCTCTGCAAGTAGCTCAATTTTCAAGAAAATATTTCAGTCTATATGCAGGGCTTTATTACCAAAGGCCTCAATCATTTGCACAGATGTCTATGTACGATCTCCTGATGCACGAACAAATCATAAAGTCTGCATGCTCAGACTTCTTAAGATGTCATCCACTGGATTTCCGACCTAGATTTTCATCAGTAAAATAATCAGATGTCAACCCCAACCAACAGCGATCGTTTGGGTCTGTAGTTTATTTGCCCAAAACAGCTGATATGACCAGTGATGCACTAGATGTAAGCTATCTGACATTGTCATAGGCTTTAATGCCAATAAGAATTGATGAGTAGCCTAGAAACACTTTACAGAAATGTATTGTAAACATTTGTGCTGAGTCTGACACTTAAACCTTGATGTTCAAACCTGCTAACACTGAAACCTCAAGTTTCATAACCTTGAATTAGCTCATGTAGCTTGTTCACAGAGCATAACGTGAACATAACAAAGCAGCTGCTGCCTGCTTACTCCTCTGTGTGGTTTCTGCTTCCTCACCACTGTCTTCATTATCAACTGCAGACTGCATTTAAAAAAAAACAAAAAAAAAAACGGTTATACCTTTAGCACACTGCACCTACAACCAGCAAGGACTTTTCCTTTTTTTCTTTTTTTTTTGACACCTTCTCTGCACTTAGTCATACAAAACATGTCTGTACAAGCTTCCTGTTTCTGTGTGTTTATGCAGATTCACAACACACTGGGATACACAAAAAAAATCTGCTGAAGTACACTTCCCTTATCTAAAATTTGCCTCACATTCTACCCAAGCACAGAATAAATGCATCGTTTTAAATAAAAAAAGCTTACATTTAAAGGTATCCTGTAGAGTTTTTGACCACTGGTGGTCTATGGGGCAATGTTTTTATGAATGAAGCCCCATTTTAGTTGTTTTTGTGCATATGCATGTGAATCAATGTAACAAAATATGCATTCCTGCCAATGGTTAGAATCAACTTTGGTCATATAACAGTTTTTAAAAGAAGGTTACAAAGAGTTTTACCTAAAAAACAAGAAGACAATAATAGTCAAAACAAAAATTATTAAGAATCCAAAAATGTACAATGTAAAAGAATAAGACATATAGCATCATCACTTACATTAAGATAAGACAAACAAGAAGAAAAAAGAAATTGGTATAATTGTCTCAAGAAAGGACGATCCCACGCACTGCTCCTGGTCCACAAATTACTGATCACAACATTTTGACCTCTTTGGGCCTTCATCATCACTACATTAGTTTGATCAATACTAAGACTGAAGCATTATCTTTCAAAGCACCAAATGAGCTAGTTATATGTCTGACTAGCTCTCTAAAAGGGAAAGCTAGTTTTTAAAAGCGGTTTACAGGAGGAACTATTGTAACTGTGGACTACATTTCCTCCAGGATATAGACAGAGCAACACTGAATGCAAACACAAAAAGAAAACTTTAGTGGATGCTTTTAGGTTTTGACTTCAAGTTTTGAGTTTACTGTTTTTCTTTATAATGAAAATATGGATGAAAATGTTGTTATTATTGCAAAAATATGATTTGCTTGATGATTTCCATGCATTTGAGCAGATACAGCTGAAACCAGAAGTTTACAAACACTGTATAACAATAAATAAAACCTTTTTTTCACCCACTGTCTGACATTAAATCAGACTCTTTCCTGTTTTAGGTCAATTAGGATTACCAAAATTATTCAATTTGCTAAATGCCAGAAAAATGACAGACAGAATTTTTTAGATAATTTTTTTTATTACTTTCTTCAAAGTCAAAAGTTTACACTAAGATTACTATGCCTTCAAACTATTTGGGAAAGACCAGATGATGATGATGTCATGGCTTTGGAAGCTTTTAATAAGTTAATTAATTACATTTTGGTTAACTGGAGGCACACCTGTGGAGGTATTTTCAGACACACCTCAAACACACTGCTTCCTTGGGAAAATCCAAAGAAATCTGTTGCTTTGGAGTAATGCCTTCTTCCTCTCTGAGTGGCTTTCAGCCCATGTCAGTCAAGACTGGTTTCACTGTGGATAATGAGACTCTCTTACTAGCTTCAGCAGCATCTTCTCAAGGTCTTTTGCTTTTGTTCTGGGGTTGATACGCACATTTTGCACCAAAACACTTCATCTCTGGGACACAGAACCCATCGTGCCTCCTGAGCAGTGTGATGGCTGGACATTCCCATAGTGTATATACTTGTGTATAATTGTTTGAACAGATGAACATGGAACCTTCAGGCATCTGGAAATTGTGCCCAAGGATGAACCAGACTTGTGGAGGTCCACAATTTCCTTCCTGATATTGTGGCTGATTTCTTCAGATTTTCCTATGTTGTCACAAAAGGAAGCAGTGTGTTTGAGGTGTGCCTTAAAATAAATCCACAGGTGTGCCTCAGATTAACTCAGATGTTGTTAATTAATCTATCAAAAGCTTCCAAAGCCATGGCATCATCATGACATCACTAAGCTAAAGTAAATAGTTTGAACGCATAGTAATCCTAACTGACCTAAAACAGGAAAAGTTTAGTCACATTTAATGTCAGATAGAGAGAAAAACAGAAACAAAAACAAAAAGGTTATATGTCTAAACTTCTGGTTTCAACTGTAGAAATATATATATATATATATATATATATATATATACATATGTACTCAAGCGCAACACATCATGGTTGCCATGTCTGCTCTTCGTTTTGTCTGACAGTTGTTACCTGGATGATGGTTTCCGATGTCAGTAACAGTAGAGAGCCATCAATGTTGTATAACTGTGGTGCAAGTGCAGATTTTAAGCTTTAGCAAAGGTAAATGCCACCATAAGTGTTCAGTGTTCTGTGCCGTGCAGAAAGTCTACAATAACAGGAACTCGTTAAAAAGAAAGAAAAAAGAAATCGTTAAAACATTTAAGGTACAAATAGAAACACACTTGCACCTGAAATAAAGACTAACTTTTGTGAGATATCTCAGCAGCCTGTCTCCTTCTTTCTGAAGAAAACATCACTGAGCTGACTTCTCAAAGTAAAAGTCTGTTTGTGTATCAGTTATATGAACTATTACTGCTCCATCTGTGATGAATAGCTTCATTCACATAACCACATTTTGTATTTAAAGCACTCTGGGAGCTGCAGGCTGCATGGAAGACATTTGCATTGAGTAAGTACAGTAAAGACATTTGTCCTGGGTGGTGGTGAATGGAGGCAGCAGGGAGGTGACTTCTCTCCACCCCTTAACGGCGGTAAACCGTAGAAAGAGGGAGGGAAGTAGAAGTCAAATAGGAGGAGAGGGGAAGTCTGTAATGAAATCGGAGAGGGGGAAAAAAAAAGAAAAACGTGAAGTCTTATAGGAACTTAAACCAATCCTCAACAAGGAAGAAAGGAAGCAGGGAGAGCAAAAGCTTTAATTTGGGGATTCAGGCTGACACTGTTTACAAATTAAGAAAAACAACAGTCAGCTGTGAAAGCTGATTTTTTGAAATCCTCATTTTGTCATTTACTTAGTAAGAAACGCCTTTATTTCCATCTTTTTTTTCCTCTCTGAGAAGACGCACAACTGAAGTAAGTAAATTAGTTTGTACTTAATTGTCCACTTTGTGTTAATACGTGTAGTATTTGTTGTAATAACACACACATGGCAGCATGACGCGGAGGCAAGAATAACCGGCTGCTGATACTCACACGTGGCATTACACAGAGACAACTTTCCTTTACATGGTATCGAGGAAACTCCGTTATTAAACCCGCCAATGTGTGCGTAATGGGAACCAAAAAAGGCGCAAAGTGTGTTGGCGCACGGAGGGTGAAAGTGTGAGAAGCACAATGAGTAACACCGAAAGACGCTGTTTCGGAAGTGACCATTTAGTGACTGCCATGCTTTTTACAGTATCTTCACTCAGGTCTTTTCTTTCATTAAGCTGTAAACTGCTGCTTCAGTAAACTCAGCGATGGAGCTCATTTGTTCGCCTCTAAGCGCTCAGTTTACCTACAATTAGACATGTTTGTTTTAGTGCTCTCTAATTTGAACTTAATCACAGCTTTAGTCAGCAGCAGTGGTCGCGTTTGTGTCACCAAGCAGGGGAAAAAAAGACAGAATGTGTTGCCTTCACTGGCTCCCCGTAGAGTACGTTTTTATAGTAACACTTTATGGTTTGGTTTAAATGTAAATTTAGCTGTAAAAACAACGTTTAAATACATAGTAGGCCTGTTTCACTCAGAGGAACTTGCAATGTGGTGAAAACATTGTGGACATCTTCAAAACAAAAAAAAAATCTTTGCAATTAAACCTGTAACTTTTAGTTTTTAGTTTTATCCTGATTAATATTAGCAGTTTCATTGATAAAATATTAAAATGTCAGAGAAAAACAACAACAACAACAATGGCCATGACATTGTTGTTGTTGTCCAAACAAAGTCAGTTTTTAAGTTTGAATGAGTTTAAACAGAAATGTAGCATCACCTTACATTAGTGAAGCAGTTTGGGATATTTATAAGAATACACAGTCTGATTGCTTTCTTAATTAATGTTTGGATGAACAGAACAACAAAAATAAAGAAAAACTGACTCAGAGAAGTGAAGCATCAGAAGTGTTGTGTGATTAATTACATTTACTGTCATGTGAGAGAAGTACAAACAAAAACCCTTCCACTAAGAAACTGGAAGCATTTTGAAAATGAAATAATAATAATAATAATTTATCGTTATCAATAGCCTAGCTAGCTGTTAATACTGAAAAAATAAATAAATAAAATGAAAACTCAGTTGATTACCAAATTTAATGAAGCACAAATCATGTCAGCCTTAGTGAGCAGGTAGACCATCAATGGAAACTGGAGGTCTGACTGGTCTCTTTATTGTTGGGGCTGTTCATGTGAGTTGGTCATGTGAGTTTCCACTTTTCAGACAGCAGCTGAACGTCTCACCAGCCTCGCTCCGGTAACCGGACCCTGGCTGAGGTCATGCCCGCGGAGAAGCAGCTGCTCTCCGGCCGACCAGCTTCAGGGGTTTGCCGGGTTTTTTTTTTTCTCTCTCTTCTTTTTCTCGGACTCCTCGGGGGGAACAGAGGCGTCCCGGGCGTGCGGTTTATTTTCTAGGAAACTTGTGAGGATAAAGAGTTTGCCTTGAGTTCCTTTGTGTCCTGCTGAGGTTGATAAACACTCCCGGTCAAGGTCGCCAATATCCCCGCGGGGAAAAAAGAGCAGAGATGGATGTGAGCAGCAGCAGAGAGACTTGAAAGGAAGCAGGGACACGTGAGGAGTTAAGTCAGATTTTGATACTGAGGCAGCAGAAAAGATGGTTATATTAGAATAACCCAACAGGCTGCTGCCTCCTCCACAGTGAGCACCAACAGAGTCCATGTGAGGAGACTCGTGCAACATTGCATCATTCAGCGCTCAGGTATTTCAGGAAACAGCTTCCTTATAAGGAGTCTCTCCCAGTGCGGCCTTCACCTGCTCTCTTACACACACACACACACACACACACACACACACACACACACACTTCACAGTGTTATGACAGCGGCTCGCAACTGCCTGCCAACAGTAAAGAAGACCTTGCTTTCATGTTTAACTTGTTGGCAAGTCTTTGTTGTGTGTTGACCTACAGGCATCCCAACACAAGAGCACTCCCTGAGCTCCACAATGACAGTTTCACAGTAATTGCTGCTGTAAAAAAAAAGAAAGAAAAAAGCTGCACAGAAACAGGCGGGAAACTTAGAGAAAGAATGTGTGATAAGCAGCAGTGGAGGCTGAGGCAGCAGGCCAGACAGTTGTGTTGGATGACTTACATCAGTCCACGTGGTCCTTTAACGTGAGCGCACACCAAGCAGCCACTTGTGCCCTTTTTCTTGCAGTTTTCATGACATATGTTCCCCGTTTTATTTACAACATTGTCTCCTGTGAACCAGCGTGCATGTGAAGTGTAGCGTTTGTTTTGTGTGTGTTGTCACTCGTGATGTGGCCGCCACTGTAAATCCAACACATGTGACAGCGGCCTCTATACTTAGGCTTTTCATGGACCCCCTGTATGCTGTCTCTCCGTTCTGCAGCATCAACAAAACAACAAGTGCACTCGTTTATTTGGCTTCTACAATACAGGCGCTGCTAAAACTTTTTTTAAAAGAGGCACAAACTAACTGTAGGTGTGTTTGTTTTGAATGTGCGGTCAGAAGAAGCTTGCAGAGGATTAGTAACGCTTAAAGTGATGAAGTGAGAAGCTGCCATGTTTAGCACACAATTTACACAAGAGTTTAAAAGAGTATCTACTGACAATAAATTAGAATGAAAACATGTGTCTGCCGTTTTAGTTCATGCTGACCCAAGAGCCAAGCAAGTATGGATTTACATCATGTCAGCTTGATTTGTGTTGAAGCTTCAAGTAGCTTTGGCTAAACTCTGTACAAAGAATTTGCCTCTTATTTCCTCTGTTTAAATTGTGTTAAGCATTGTATTAACATGGACTACTTAAGAAAACAAACCTGTCTTTTACTCTAATGCACAGGTGGAGTCAGGTTTGCACAATTAAAACAGTTTTTATTACAAATTCTTGCATCATGCAGCAACATGTTTGCTATTTCAACAATTTCAATTCAGTGACTCATAGTGCAAATGTACATGAGAACGAGGATGACACATGGGTTTATTTGCCCAGGGTCATTTCTGCTAAACAAAATTTACTGAGTATCCACAACTTTTCAGAGTATCCAAAGAGGAACATATCAAGAGTTCATTTGCAACAACAGATAACTCCAATTTTGTAGATTTTCAGAAAACGTGTTTTTCGTTGTTTGCTTCAGATAACATCAATCAAACTGAAGTTGAATGGATTTGATTCAGTAGAACACACATGACATGACAAAAATAGAGATAACTTAAGTTTGATTGATATCGTCTGTTAGATGATGGAAAAGTGGGTTTTCTGAAGGTTTGTGAAGATGGAGTTATTTGTTTTTGCAAATGAACTCTTCATATGCTCCTAACATGATAAAAATAAGTTACCACAGAATTAGTTCTAACATTTTCTGATCCACTGAATTAAAACGTGTGTTCAGTTGCACTGAATTAAACAGAAAACTAAGAGTCACAAACAGCAATATACTGTTTAAGTCAGAAGCCCCTTTCAGACGTGAGCTCCTTTGTGTTAGTCTGAATGTGTCGGTGTCGTGTCTTAATGAGCACTGGTCACCTTTTCAGTCAAAGTTGCAGCGCTAATCTCGCTAGGTCGGGCATTTACGTGGCACTTTCTAGACAGCACAAGTCTGACCTGCATTCAGTCGCATTATCGGATAGACTCACATAAGATTTAACACACTGACGTAGGACGGTGTTACATATAGTGGTTCACAATGAGCTGGGAAGTGAAGTTTCAAAAGCTGCAAACTAACCGAATCGAATGATTTGAAGAATTCCCTAAACACAAAAAAACATGAGAATTCAATCTTTCCTGGAACACGCTGATGCTTGTTTGCCTTGTTATAGTCAGAAAACTTGGATGTCATTATATGTCACTTGGGGTCTAATCTCACCTGTATGATATATATCATATATCATGCTGTAGCTCTGTTGCTGTGGTGGGTTTGTCAGAATGTAAATTTAGGGAACATTAATGTAAAAGTAACCTATGACAAAATGACGAAATGCCATCAACAGATTGATGAAACCAGCAATGTTAGGTCTCCTATGTCTGAAATGGAGTATGGATTGGGACAGGGATGAACTGCCAGCATTGTAATATTGTCCCAACTCCATGATGACAGTAACTGGAGCAACAGAAGCATGATTGATGACTTGAATAATACCCTTTCTTAGTCCTCTGTGGCAGGAAATTGAATAGCTTTGGTTCAATTAAAAAAAACAAAACAAAACAAAAAAACAGAGAAATTCTGATCAGGATTTTGTAAATTTATCTGAGAAAGGATTATTTGATGGTTAAAGTAATAGTCGCAGCTCTGATGTTTATAGACTCCTAATTGTGCTCACCCAAAAAGTTAGCCTCGTTACTGTCTCGTTGACTGAATTAAAAGGTTATTTTGCTGGTGGTAGATTTAAATGACTGAATGAATGAGCGCTGTGTCGCCTCATTGTTCAGGGTTAGGGAGTTGATTGTGCGTGTGTGTGCAAACAGTGTTTTCATCATGGGGTCAGTTACAAAGAAATCCCCCTTTTCTTACTCTCTTTTCAGCACAAAGCCAGTTCACTGGGCTGTGGATAATCGCATTACACGCACGCCTCATGAGCACATATGCAGACTCATGGGCACACGCAGAGACAAATCTGTCCCATTAGAGTCCCCTTTCTTTGTCCAGTGCGACGCTCGCATGCTGAAAAGATGCCTTCATAAAGAAGCTCAGAGAGAGCTTCCTGCGCGAGGCCTGTTCTGCAGCCTCTGTTCGCTTCCACTTCTCGTCTGGTTTGCTGCCAAACGGAATAGCTGGTTATATTTGGATGTCTTGGCTAGATGTGTTCCAGACGTGTGTGATGCTGTCCAGTTCATCATGACCCAATCTGTCGCAGGTTACAGTGACCTGGCCGGTGTGTTTGTGCACTTTCCAGGTGGTCGTGACTAACCTGACTTGGTTGTCGCTGTGCTTTTTGTTTGTTGTGTGTTTGCATAAAAGCCACATCATCGCTTAGTTTTGCTCTGATTATATACAACCGGAGCTAACCTGCGTGTTGTTGCCAGGCTCGTTCAGTCCAACTATTTATGATGGAAATGCCAGCCTTTTAAGATGCTGTCCCTATTTCCAGAACAAAGCAGACCAACTGAGTGCTCCGCATTGTTTCACTCGGTCAAAATCAAGGGTGAAATAGTTTCTCTGTTGATGGCACGGTTGGGTGGAGTGCTGAGGACAATGCAGTGGAAGGTGTCAGGTACCCAGCTAGGATTTACAAAACAATGACTGGCCATATGCGATCTCATTAGGCAAACTGAGGCAGACATCTACTCCCTTCAGTGACTCCATCAAGTCTGCACATGAAGTAAACATCACGAAACATCACATTTGTTTTATTCAGTAAAAGTCAATGAAGTGAAATAAGATCTTTCTGTATTCAGGGGATCGATGTGTCAAACTCTGAACTCAAATGCATCACGAGTGGGATTCTTTTTAACTCATGTCGAAACTGCTTCGAAGATGAGTCAGAACTGTAATCATGAGTGCAGGTATTGACATTCAGTAGCAATTTTGTTGTATCAGTTTGTGCATTTCTGGCATTTTTTCTATATTTTAGGTTGTGTTTTTGTATCAGAGCTGCAGTAATTACTTGATTAATTGCTTGATCAACAAAAATGTTGAAATTCATGTAATAGTTTAAGCATTTTATGGATTTTTTTTTGCTCCCCCTATTTAAATATCTTTAAATATTGGTTTAATAGATTAGTCAGGACATTATCTTGTGGATTAATTAATAACTAAAGTAACTGTCAGTTGCAGCCCTGTTCTCTTATTGACTTTTGTGTAAAGAGATCTTCATTGCAAACTGCTTTACGCTGTAATAAGTAATGTGCCAGTGATCTTTGCTAAAATTCATTACCTTGTAGAAGATTTTGTGAACCCAAACGACGATGTGTTTTGACAATAAACATGAGCTAAGGGCTGCAAATAATAACTATTTTCTTCTCAGTCAGCGACACGTACATCAAGTAATCAAGCATTTCTAGCAAACAATTGCATAGTTGGTCAGAAATAGCAGGTTACAAAGGCTGCTGTTTACCTGCATGAATATTATTGGATGTTAACAGTCAGATAGCAAAATTTTGATCCTCTGTCATAACTAAGATCATAATCTGACATGATTTTTTGATTATTTGTTTAGGTAATCAAATGTCACATATAAATGTTAAGTGAAATTCTTAATGAGAGAGAAAACCAACAAATCCTCACATTTAAAAAATTTGAATACACAAGTGTTTTTTTATTTATTTTTTTTAGATTTTTTGGTTAATGACTTAAATTGCTCAATTTGAATTAGCAATGAATGACATTGTTTGTTGAAATTTACAGACGTTTTCACATTTGAGTGATACTTTTCTTGATCAACCATTTGCTCAGCAAAATGTAAAAAAAAAAACATCTAGCACATCCTTCAAATGCTATTTGTTTTACAGTTGTATATGCAAGCGTCTATTGAATATAAACACAACGACGACTACGTGATTAATCATTCCTCCTCATGTCTCCTCCGTCACAGAGCAGCAACGATGGCGCCCTCACTCCTCCAGGCCTTCAGGAGGCGCTGGTGGATGGCGGTGACGGCGGTGATTGAAAACCTGCTGTGTTCGGCCGTGCTGCTGGGATGGGGCTCCCTGCTCATCATGCTGAAGAGGGAGGGCTTCTACTCCCACCTGTGTTCAGGTGTGTGTTCAGCATCATTGAACCTTAACCTGCAGTTTGGGGTCCTGAAGACACTTTGATGCATCATGGGGGTTTTCCCCCAATTTTATGTGGATGGTTTTGCAGTGATGGCGTGTTCCTGAACTCTGCATCAGAAAATGATCCAGTGGTTCTGTCTAGTGTCTGAAAAGAAACTCACAGATTGTATAAAACACACTTTATAGGCAGCACAAACCAAAAATTTCAGTTTAAGTTTTGTTGGTACACATCAGAGATCTAACATTGATTTGCAATGTTATGATGTAGAATACCAAACAGTGTATTTACTTCACGTACTTTCCTACTGTTAAGAAGATTTCAGAAAAGGAAAAGTGGAGGTTGATTTTGCAAAAAAATTTTGAAACACTGACCATCTGGAGCTAAAAGACTTCAAATAGCGAAGAAGCCAATGTCAACAAAACACGAGAGTTAAAACGTTTTTTGGCTTGTAAAATAAAGTAATGTCTGTTTTTGCTGGCCGCAGATGTCTTAACAGATGTTTTGAGGTCTGACAGGCAGATGATCTACTGATTCCCTAAAATAGAGACGAAGCAGAACAAAGCTTTTTCTCTTGGCCTTTGTCTTAATTAACTCCTCTGATTTAGCGTGCAACCAACACTTTGTTGGAGTCCCAATACCTGACCGGGAACCCATGACTTTGGACATCCATCTTTACAATTAGAAGAAGCTCACAAAGTTTCTGAATATTCATGTTTCTATCATCACCTTGTTCCCACAGTGAATGACTCGGTGGTTGTGTCTTTGGGCAACTCCACTGACGGGGAGGAGGAGGAGTGGCTCAGCTGCGTGGACCAGGAGGAGATGCTGAATCTGGGCTTCACCATCGGTTCCTTCTTACTCAGCGCCACAACGCTGCCACTCGGTATCCTGATGGACAAGTTTGGTCCTCGTCCAATTCGGCTGGTGGGCAGGTAATGGTTGGACAATGGTCCAAGATGTGTGAGAACTTGATTCTGTTCAGTGCAACACACAAACAGTTGAGGCCTTTTTTTTATTAGCTGCACATTCATTTATATTTGTGTGACAAATCTGGAAAGAAAATCAGCTCCTCTACTACTACTACTGAGGTTATAGTAAAAGTGAAAAGTGAACGGATCACATTCCCCCAGAGGGAGGAGGGCGACAACTCCTTTTGTGTTTTCTTCGTGTGTGAATCAGTTAAATGTGTGAATCAGTTAAAGTGGGTGGGGCACTAGTTTGTGTGTGCACGTTGTGTGTATAGTAGTGTAGCATTCCTTTTCAGTGAGTGTGGAAGCACATTTGTACTTTCTTGGATAATTATTTGGCATTCTGTTGCAGTAGAGTTTGGCTGCCAGTAGTATCTTCACAACATATGAATAGACAGAGTAAAAGGTTATAAACTCACTTCACACACTCTTCTTCACAGTTTAAACAGCTCTGAAATGTAATATACAGGCCCTCCACTTTGATAACACAATGAAAGCTGATAAAAACATTCATGTGGAGCTGCATGTGTTTAAACAGTCAGGCTGTCAGGGCACAGATGATTTCAATCCTTTGTAGATTAACAAGCTTAAGTGCTGTTTGTGAATCAGACCAAATGTACTTTTAAGTATTAAAGCATTAAACAGCATGACGTGTCCGTAGTATGACTCGACACTCAGAACTTGTTAGTCACCAGCAGCTAGTTACCCTGTGGTATTTTGAACACATGCCTCGGGGGCAACATAGTTTGCTACATAATTTGAATGTCACCAATTTCTCATTCTTTTGTTGCAGCTCATGTTTCGGTCTGTCTTGTGTCATGATGGCTGGATCTGCCTACGACCCTGACAGTGAGTTCAAAAGCACATACATGAACACGTGCTGCACATCAATTAATCTGCTCGCAAAGGTCACATGAGGCTCACAGAAACCAGTAAAGCTGGAGTATTCTTCCTGATATTCTATCAGTAAAATTCCTTAGTATCGTGGCTATTTAAGTATGTAAGTGCTGGGAGACACTGGTGGCTGTTGTGATTGAAGGTTACAAGGCTGATCACCTCGAAGAGCTGCATTTAGAGAAGCAACCAAAAAATGCAAAACGCAGAGTTTTGAATATCAATGTTAATTCACAGGCCCAAACATGTGTGATCTGAAGCCACATGTGCTCTCAGAAGTGTTGTTTAATCAGTCAAAAAGCAATGAAAGCAGCTTTTCAGATTGCTCGACAGGGCACTGGGTCCTTGCTGCCAAATGCTTACATAACTTAAACCTCACAGACTGAGAGAAAGCTGCAGGTGCGATTGAAGAAGTGCAACAGGGACGGGTTTCATGTGAGTCACAGTTTCAGTGGGAATGGTAATTTTTGCATTTTTGCACAACTGTGTTTCCTGATATATTGCACTTGGCTATATTGTGACAACTTTTCAGCCCGACTCAGCAACACTTAGTGTGCATCAAACACACACCAGGAAAGGCCTGTGTGGTACCTTTAAACACAATATTTTATTCATTTTTCATTACAGCTTGTTCCAACTGCTTTTCAACCTTTAAGAGCCTTAGTGTGCTTCAGCCAAAATACTTTCTGGTTCATTAGACAGTGTCTGAAACCTCCTATCCTGCATTTTTACAGTTTTTTTGGTGTAATATTTATCTTGTTTTTATTGCCATTGGCAATTTTTTTAAATGTACTTACAAATACAGAAGTAAAAGCAGTAATAAAAAGTGGATGGATTAATTAATAATCCCAAAATGTTATTTTGTACTGGTTGTGACAGCTTGCTTCCTGTATCAGTTTGTGACCTTTGGTTGAATATTGGACTAAATGTCCTCCAGGTTCTGTTTTAAAGAGTTAAATTTCCTCTTTTGGTTTTTCTTTTTGTCTGCAGATCTGTCAGCGCTCATCTTCTTGGCTCTTTCCCTGAATGGCTTTGGAGGAATCTGTCTGACCTTCACATCCCTCACGGTGAGACTCACAACCAACAGGACACAGAAAAAGACACACATTCTGACTGATTAATGGAGCAGAACTTAATATGCTATGAATCTAGTCATGGTGTTGACACATGACACTAGATATATCATCTGGGCTTTTTTAATGTGATACTGAGCCCCCACCCTCGTTCCTCTTGAATTATTATAGTGGTTGGGCTTTGCTCAAAACAGAGGCAGTGTTTTCAAGCAGGCTTCTCATATCTTGCTGTCATTAGGTGCCTTTCCAGTACAGGAGTTCTGTGCAGGCGTGATGTGGTGCCGTATTCAGTCCTTTCAGCCTTTCTGTTTCAAATACGATTTACCCAACTTAGAAAGTGATTGATCACAACATTTGACAAATTTACACTGTTTGTGACCATGTCTGAGAGGAGAAAAGAGTCAATTGAGCGGATGCTTCCTGATGTTGTCTTCTCCAAGTGTATCTAATCAGCGTTGAGCTCTGGCCCGAAAATGGTTCTAAAAGAGGTTTTAACAGAGAAGTTCCTGCAGCTGGAACACAAGGACCGCCTTAGAATGGCCTTTGAGTTCCTGCAGTGGAAAACGGTTTAATGCATCTTCTCTGGTTTTGTTAGGTGACAGATTTGTTAGAAATGCTTTAGGAAGTCAATCACTTCTTCTTTGTGCCAGTGTTCATTGTTTGGGGCCCTCATGGTCAGCACACCCGTGACATAATGGTGCTCATGTTTGTTATTAGATTTGTACATATGACCTTGGGTGCATTCAAGATCCATATTACCAAACTACGAAGTTTGCTCAAAAAAGTTTAATACGTCCCAATAAATTGTTCATCAAATCTAATATGCCAAAAATGCCCAAGTGTGCTACTACTGCTGGTCGGATTTTGTAGTATGCGAGCCACATGATCACGGAAATCACAGATATGTCACATATTATTAGGACCAAGTAGTATGTCCCAATTGTGCGTGAAACAGTACACACTTTGTGAAGGCAGCTGTAGGACATACTGAGGGTAAAAAGAAATATTATAGGATTTAGAAAGCAACCCTTGTTTGACCTAAACCAGAGCAAGGAAGAGAAACACCTCCCCTTTTGTCCCACCAAAGATACACCACAAATTCGATTAGATAACCATCTGAGCCACAGACGATTCCTGTAGCATTCACACCATGTACTGAATGTGTGTGTCCCTGACAGCCTCCAAAAACTTTTGTCACTGTGTCTTACGTTTCTATTATATTTTCACCTGTCTAAATCTGTTTGGGACATTCTGTACTAAAGACTCAGTGTGTCTTGTTTCAGGTACATTTGGCTCCAAAGAAAAGTCTGATTCTGTGTTTGAATTGCAAAACACACAAATGACAACTTAAAACAAGCCTGCACAACCAGTCCTGTTTGTCCTCGCCTTTCTTGTCAGTAATATGTCAAGCATGCATCCAGTCATCAAGCAGAGGAGAATCGTTTTAAGAGTATTAGTCAGAATTTGGCACCAAAATTTGCATTTGGTTTCTGCTGACTGTCTGTCCTAGATTATAATGGAGTTGCACAACAGATATTCTAAGAAAGTAGCGATGGAGTTTTTTTTTCCTGGAATAAATTAGCAGGAAAGTTTTGGTAGCTGACAGTCTCAGCGTGGTCAGATCCTGTATTTGCTTCAGCTGGGGAAACAGTGTGTGTTGTGACTGGGAGCTGCGTTTGTTTACATTCACGTCAAGCATGTGTGTTTGTGTGTGATGTGTCAGCTGGTGTGCCAACATTATCAGGAGGGCTTTATTGTTTGCCAATGCCTCTTGTGTTCCGACAAGTATTTAGTGTTGTGTTGGTACGGTGTGCTCGTGATTCTGTCAGAGCTGCACGAGTTCTCCCAGATGGAAAGTCTCCCTCTCATGTTTCCACCAATGCCGGCCCGCGGTTCACCACACACCCTCCCAAAGCTCGGCCCACTTACCTCTATTCAAAATACTCAAGGGCACATTGTTTTTCTTGTCTCTACTGTTCGCTCTCATGTCCTTCTTCATGATCTCCTCTGTCTCTCTGCTGTACCCAGAAGAAAAATCAATACACAACCTTTTCAACTCTGCATGACTGTGCACACATGTGGATGTTCATACGTGCACGAATGCTTGCGTGCACACAGGGAGACGAACATGAAACAGATGTTTGGTGGATGAAGGCTCAGGCTGACTATGGACATGACCCTGTCCTGTGATCTTGTCTCTGTATTTTGGTTTCAGCTTGGCTCACTGCTAAGACACCTGTCTGAATCTGTCTGTTCACTAACTCAGGTTGAATTAATGTCCTTCAGCATCGGTGAAGAGTTGCTGACGGTGCTGATAAATAGCTGACGTGGCTGTTCTACAGGAACAAACACGTGAAGTGGATTTTTCCAAAATTAGATATCAGGGGTGGTTTAAGGTGACTGTGAACCAAACGAAAAGCACAGGACAGAAGGCATTTTAAAATGATGTAACTTTTTGGCAGTCACTTCACACAAGTCGTACTGAGATAGACTCTCTTCTTGTTTCTAAATTTACCACCTATAACTATATACCAACCACAAATGAAACAAGACAATTTAAAAACCACATTTCTTTTGTTTTTAGAGGCAGCAAACAAAAAGGATGATATTTTCTGTACAAATTGCCTGTTTTATCTCATCCTTGACTTTGAGAAAATTACTTTCAACTAAACAAGCAGCTGAATTCATGAGAAATGTGTGTAATAGGGGTCGAACCATTATCAGCTTGGCCAATCATTGGATTTGATATTCAGCATTATTTCCTGTATTAGCATCATTAAAAAAAATACTGATTTCCAGTAAAATGTATGAATTTTAAAATGGACTTTTTTTGCCTTACTTTATCTGTAGTCCATATTCTGTGGTCTCAAGCCTTGTCACGCACACAACACTGTACAATTAATTACATATTAATTATATATTTATAAATATTAATATCTATTGATAGTGTTATAGATTATCAACACAGAAAGATTATTTTTTTTAAATCTAAACATGTAAGACATCAGTAAACAAAGGAATCTCTGCAAAGTTTTGTCAAGAAGTGTTGACACCAAGATATTCATTTTTCCTGCAAATGTTCAGTCAGTTCCAAATTCTGGTTATTGGTCCCCTTGATGGCTAATATGTGCTATTGGACTTGAAGAAAACAACAATCAATTGCCCCTTGCTGTATAAAATGATGCACCATTTCCATCCATTTGATGTAATGGTGCAGCAATAGAACAACAAGGACTCACAACATAGTGTGTGAAATGTTGTGATTTAATAATCTTAGAGCTAATTTATAGAGAAACTAAATGGGGAAACAATCAGAAGTGAAGGTCATAGTGAAGGAAAATCACACATGTTTTATACATGTGTTCATGGGCTAATATCAGACAATGAAAGGTGGTCTCCAGTACTGTTTCTAAAGTTACACGCGAAAGGACAAGATGAAAGTAATTTAATCAATACAAAGGATGATTCAAGTCATATTCTTGTCTGGAAAAACATATTTGTACACTAATGCACGCATCCATGGAGCTGCAGTTTCACTCAGCTGTTCTGTTCCTCCATTAAATACACTATGTTCATCATTTTGACCCTTAGAAATGAAAATTAGCAGCAATGCATGACTGTGTCTGAGCGAGGGGGCACTCAGTGCAGCAGTGGCACAGCAACATGGAAAATCCTTTGAGACTCTGACCGCTCACGCACGCTCACATACTCCTATTTCTACTCTATTAATCACACAAGCATAAGATTAATATTACCCACACGTTTGAGTAATGTTCAACTCCCCCCCAGGCTGTCTGTCTCTGTCTGACCTCCACGTCCCTCCGTCCCTCCCTCTGTCCACATTTCTAATCGGGTTACCAACGTTGACTGACCTCCACCCTGTTGTTGCTGCTCTGACTAGCAAAGGACAGCAGAGCACAAGGACTGAGAGACACACAAACACATGCCATCGTGATTCAAACCATGTGCTTGAGACTAAATTGATTATAAAAGATCATCTCTGTTCTTTTGAGGTACTGTATAAAGAGAGAAGACTTATACTGTCTCCTATTAGCCATAATGAGAGAAATGACCCTCGAATCAAAGAGTCTGTCATCTGACTTTCAACATGTTAAAGTTCTTAGTTGTAAAATATTTGCAAATGTAGTGGAACTATTACAGTTACACCAACTAACTTTTCACCTGCAAAAATCACACTTATTATCGTGTGTAAGTTTTGGATATTGCTCAAAAAACAACCTGATATCATAACCTTGAAGAAGGTGTTTTTTTTCCTCACTACATTGGCACTATAAATGCTTGTGTGTACATATGCTGTGTGTATAGTGATAATAGTAATAATGATAAAAGTCATGTTGCAAGCAAAAGCATACAATTGGCAGAGAAATATAAATTCGTCAGAGGGAAAGCCTGTAGCTTGCAATAAGAGATCAAAGGATTATGGATTTTATTTCAAGAAGCAGTGAAGAAAAGTGTGGACATTTACATACTGGCCTGAAAACCTACTAATTTGTGGCCTGAGACTGTTTTGTTACACAAGTACAAAACACTGTAAAGAAGCGAGGTTTTGTTTGTTTGTTTGTTTGTTTTTTTAGAATAATAATTACAAATTAGATACACGTACCATTCCAAATTTCTGATGCAATGTTCCATGTTAACAGGAACAACTCAGTTAAAGCTGTTTCTGATCTTCATGCTCTTGATGCAGCAGCTCTTGATCTAAAGAATTCATTATGCGTCCATTTTACTTTTTCCCCGGTTTTAATTCAAAACTGATCCCAAAAAAAAAAGTTTTAGAAAAACATCCAGAACATTTAGTTCTGACGGATCACTGCTCTCATTAATCTGTGTGCACATGCTTGTGGTTTTAAAGCTCACTGGGAGACACGGTTGAATAGCATCAAGGTGATTCACGCCTGCCGTCCTTTCTTTAGTGTCACATTTTTGGCAGGTGCACACAACCTTCCTGGTCCTGGTTGTCGCATATGTCACAATCCCTTAATGATCTATGTTAACTATGTACAGTATGATGAGAGTTTAAGTGTTGAAGGAATGAAGGCATGCCTCTTTCATACACTGTAACAGACGTAGGATTCTCCCTAAACATAATTGGCTGCTCGCAAGGGCCTGTCTCATCACATGCTAGTGGTAAAAGTTGGGTTACGAGCCGTCAATCATCTTCTTGCATATATTAGTCTCAGATAGCAGAGAGGCTGAGCTACTTTGAATTTGCTCAACAAATGGAAGCAACCACAGGGAATTGAGGATGACTCTGAGTAGATGCTGATGGTGAAATTCAAAGATGCCTCAAAAACAAGAATCACGCTTCATGGTTTAAAGGCCTCAATGCAGGTGTTAACATTAGACCACTTTTTATGTTATATAAGCTACTGCAGCTGGATAAGAGTGCTGCTGGGAGGGACAACAGTTTGACTGATCTATGAACAGTGAGAAGGGCAGCAGAGAGCTGAGGTGGAAAGAAGAAGCCGGTGCTAATCAGCTGTGATTTAGTGTTTCCTGCTGGGATCTCCACAGAGAGAGAAGCTGCAGCTGCAGCTTGGAAAGATCAGTTAAATCAAAAAAAATTGTTTTTTTTAAATAAATCCCACCATGTAGCGTTTTCATAATTTAAGTCCTTGCAAAATTTCTATACTTCCCTCTTTTTTTTTCTTTCTCTCCTGCCTCCCACCTCTTTATTCCACTTTCTCTTCATGCGATCTGCCTTTGTGCCTCATGTTAAGAGTTGAATCTGAATTTCTGTGCTCATTAATCTACTATTTGGCCCATTCTCTCAGTGATTAAAGTCTTAATTAAACCCGATGCCAAAATCTTACAACACCCAAGTGAGTGAGCACAGCAAGAGTAGAGCTGAACTTATAAGTCATGACAAGCGAATGGTCAAAGCTCCATTTCTGTCTAACTTTCTGACACCACCTGGCCCCTGTGTGCCTCCATGCAGTCACGTGTCACCGTTCACATCCCTCTTGGCAGCATTAGCATGCAGAACATGTGTTACTCGGCCCTGTGTGAAATATGCATTTCACTAGAACTGCCAGAACACAGTGGTTGCACATGGACACACGCATTTCACACTCTTACTTGCTTTCTGCATCAGACAAATCATGTCAGGCATGACTTGGATGTCACTGTTAGTCTCCTGAAAGCAAACAGGGGTTAACTGACATCTCACATGACTGGAATTTCTTTGCTTGAACATTAGTAAGAGATGCAAACTCCGCTGTGTGCTCAGAGGGCCGTGCTGCCTACATTCCTCAAACCTCCGCAGTCAGAAGAGTCCACTGCTGCAGATCTTATGGTCGTAGTCGGACTGTGAAGTATTTCGATTCTCAGAAGCTGTGAATAAGGACGGGTGTTCTCGAGGATGTTTTTCTCTTCTCGCTCAGACAGTCAGGCTCTCTCTCGAACATCCTCAGGAAAGCTTTTTTTTCCTGTTTACCTGCTAACCTCTTGGTGTCATCTCTCAAACTGACCTCACGTTTCCCCCTGCAACACAGACGCACATCACAGTCTGCCAGCTGCAAACTGTCACAATATCGTAATCTCAAGACAGCAGCCAACTTCAGCAGAAAAAAATCTACCTCCATCACAACTACTCTCACACTTCTCACAGACATCTTCCACTTTGCTGGACTCCGTAGCCAAAAGCAGCTCTTGGAATTTCAATATGTGGTTAGAAAGTTCATGGAAACCCATTTTCTGTCGGTTATTTCATAGCTGCAAATGCAGATCGTCTTCACAGTATGTCTCTTTAAAACTGGGAGGTGTGTGACAACAAAGTTTCAGACAGCACGGCTTCATACCACCAGACCAATTAGGAGATATCAGTTACATTTAGAGCTGCTGTAATCAGTAATTTCATCTGAACAATAGATCTAATGACTATGTGTAACATGAGAGCGGAAGTTCACAGTAATGAGTCCACAGAGGATTATCACCAGTCTATGCAGTGTCCTTCAGCTTTACGGAAAGTGTTTTGGTTTTTCTGACTTGCAACTTTACTGTTTTGGTTCTCACCACTCCCACAGTGTTGTTTTTGGCAACGGCAGGCAACTATTTTCCACTGAAAACCTACTTTACACCAACTGCCAAGCACCAAAGAGGAGGGAAACTTAAAGATTAGCTGGCAAACATGGCCAAATATTTCACTGAGGAGATGGTGCAGACCAAAATGAGGCTGAAAGGAAACTGTAGTGGACTTAAATTCATCAGTTGCCAAAGCATGACTGCAAATAAATTCTACAGTTGCTCCATGTCTGCTGGGAGTGTGAACAAAAACTGTTTGCTAACAATTAAGCCAACTTTCCAAGTGTCAGTGTCATGTTTCCAGCTTTTTGTTAATTAATGCAGGGTTGAAGAGCTTAAATGGACTTTAAATTACTGAAAGGAAATTATTGCCAGGTTTGTAATCAAAATGATTATTTTCCAGTATGGTGTCACCTCAACACATCCATCACTTCATTCATTCGTTCCCTCAATGTGTAAAAGTTGGGACCTGAGCTCGGCACTGAGCTCATAAATGACTAATAGATGTGATCTGCCTCAGTGAGATCAGTGTGAGGTTGTGGAAAGTGCGAACAACTGCAGGAGAAAAAAACAGGGTACCGAGACTGTTGGGTGAACTCTGACACAACCATGAGATTAGGTGACCCTAGCAGAGGTTTGGAAAACCGCGGTCAGTGCTGAGAGAGAACACTGAGCTTGTCGTGCAGCACACATAAAATCCCACACATGTGATTTTATAATCATGATTGACCCATTTAAAACTCTAATCAAAGGACACTGAATGTGCTGCCAGCACAATAGGTCATTGTTGGGCTCGCTAAGCTACTTACTACTGTAAATAGGTCGACCTAATGTATGATGTGTTAGTGCCTGGTGCCCACCACCTTGTCCCTTGCCCTGTGTCATGCATGCCCTCGTGCTGGGTCCAGTGAACCTCTGTGAAGTTCATCAGGAGCTGACTATAGATCGGCTTCCACATTTTTAATCCTAACTCAGGGAATTTGTTGAAATTACTAGAATAAAGACTATGCATGGTGTCTAAGTATAGCTTAGTCTGCATTTTAACCATGGGGTCAGGACCCAAACTGGGTCATGACTTTGTTTCTCGTTTCCAGTGACATGGAAACTAATATTTTTTTAATGAGTCTGCACTGCAGGGAGAGGGAGAAGTGTTACTATGTGCAAAACCTGTTGGTAGCAACTGTGTCTGTCAAGTTTCTCAGCCTGGTTCATCTGGTTCATACAAAGCAGCTGTCTGCCCTCTGCTGGCAGAATAACGTAATGTACCTCCACTGAACCACATCATCAACTCAGGATGGTGCATGTTCATAAAAATATGCTTATTGTCCAGCATGTCACAATGGACTTGTTCAATTTGTGTGATCATCTATGTTTGTCGTTGCTCCTGTGTGTCTGCAGCTCCCCAACATGTTTGGTGCTCTGAGCTCCACCGTCTTGTCTCTGATGATCGGCTCCTACGCCTCCTCTGCTGTCACCTTCCCTGGAGTCAAGGTATCAAACCAAGATTTTGTTAACAAATGCACTGTACTTGCAGGATTTTCTCAAATAGACAGTGTAGATATGACCAGATGAGTCAGAGATATAAACAATGTTATGGGAAGAGTTATAAACCTGAACTGGCCAGGAGCAACACTCTAGAAGTGGCTCTGTGTCTGGTGGATGTGTAAAAGAAAACTGTTGGCTTTCATTTTAACCATAAAAACTTTACAAGGTGATAGTATGTCAGTGTTGTGTTTACAGCTTGTTCTGTTGCCGCCATGTGGTAAAGAAAAAAGCACCTTTAAACACAAGTGCAGTTTGAAGTCCAAAAACACAACACCCTCTCTCTTCCTCCCAGCTCATCTACGATGCAGGCGTCTCCTTCCAGGTGATCATGTGGGGCTGGGCCGGTCTCGCTGGGTTCGTCTTTTTCAACTGTTTTTTCAACTGGCCCATCGAGGGCTTCCCAACGCCTGACGAGGTGGACTACAGGTGAGTGCAGCTACCAGTCTGCTGCACCTCTCTACAGAGACACAAGGTACAGAAATGTTTAACACCTCACCTCCCTCATTCCTGTGTGTTAACCACAGTAAGATCCTCACACTGCAAGAGCTGCCTGCATCTGAGCAGAAAGGTGTTGTCGAGAGCCTGAGCCAGAAAAACGGAGACGTAAGACACTCTACAGAGAAACTTCCTGGTGGACCCGACGCTGCTCCCAGTAAGTCAGCAAGCTCAGTCATGCTTATTAATTCAGAGGATTAACACTAACTTAGAGGGTTTTTTCGAGGTCAGAAAAGGCCTTTGAAAGGTTACTAGGTGCAACAGTGACATGGTCCACATACAGTAAAGCCATTTAGTCTGTGTTGCCTTGTTTGACAGAAATCTATGCATTTTACTGCTATTTCTGACCATTTGATAAACAAACATGTCTAATAAGTGTAGTAAATAAAGGTCCAATGAACAAAACTGGATAAAATCCTCCAAGAACTTGGAATCTTTTCCTATGGACTTAGCATTCAACTAAAATGTCATAACTCATGGTAACGCAACTTGTTTTTTTTGTACCTAAAAAGGAGGCGTATCCTTATAGAGTGTAACTTGTTAGGTTTTTAAACAAAACAGGGCTGAATTTAAACAAAAAGGGTTTGCTTATTCTTTTAAATATTTCACAATCGATTCTTAAAGAGATAAATTGTTCAAATTACAAGAAATACTTTGCTATCTTGTTCATCATCTTGCGACCCCTAAGGTCCCATTATGATTAACCCTCTGAACTCTAAACAGTTTCTGGGCTTTTTTTTTTTTGTAATTTTTATTTTTAGAATCAATTTTGTGCTGTTTACTCTTAGGAGTCTTTCAGTCAGACATGCAGAAGTAAGTGTTTATGATAAGATGTCATAATTTTAGGTTTAGATTTGGCTAAATTTGTGAGGGACTGGCACATCACAGATGTTCAGTTCAAGGACAATCAAAAAGCTGAAAAGCCAACAATTCCTTGTGATTTTATTGTTTCTCGCTCTGATAAATAATGTAAATTTGGCTTCTTTTTTTATTTTTTTTAAAGTGCATTTTAAACCTGCCCACAGGTTTTGGGGTTCAGAGGGTTAACAGGATAAGAATGAGGTACCTCTTGGTGGCTTGTGCACCTCAGGTTGAGAACCACTGATTTATACTATATGACATAACTGTTTTTATGAAGGACTAACAGAATGGATGTCTGATGAGAAACAAATCCAAATAACCTATCAAGAAGTCATTTTCTCTAAAAAAAAAAATAGATGAAAATTAAAAGGCTCTCCTCCTCCTTCAGATGCTGTTCCCTTCCGTCGCTCTGTGTTCTCACCCATCTTCCTGTGGAGTCTGATTACTATGGGGATGTCTCAGCTGAGGATCATCTTCTTCATGGGAGCGATGAACAAGATGCTGGAGTTCATGGTCACCCATGGTGAAGAGCACCGTGAGTGTCCAATCCTCATTTAACCCCAGAAAACATTTACAGTTTGTTGTTCGTCATTAAAAACTTTCAAGCAATTCTGACAGATTGGATCATTTTTGTTATATTTCAGCATCTGAGCAGCTGGTGCTTGAGGCAGAAGAGCAAGGTGAGAAGAGTAACTATGAGGCACTAAATTTGTGTACGTTATGTGCCAATTCCTTTTTATGTCTCTTATTAATTTGATTGTATGTCTTCTCTTTTAGTAAGTTTCTACTCCTCCATCTTCGGCACCCTGCAGCTGCTGTGTCTGGTCACGTGTCCCCTGATTGGCTACATCATGGACTGGAGGATGAAAGAGTGTGAAGAGGAGAAGACTGTCCACACCGTCACAGAGAAGAGGTACATTCAGTGAAACATGACAGATGTCGTACACAAAGGGATGTAACACTATGTGTCTTATGGGTCTTAATCCTCTGAACCCCAAAACGCACCAATGGTTTTGAAAAGCATGTTGTCTTATAAAAGATTGCGAAATTGAAGCCATTTATCACAGCCAGAAACTGCAGTAACAGAAGCAATATTTAGATATTCAAATTTCCAACAGTGGCATGCAGCTCTGTTGGGAAACATAACCAAATATGAGCTAGCTTTAAATCCAGATTTATTTATTTTTTTGCAGAATCTCTTTATGTGTACAAATTGCCAGAAAATGTAAGTTTGTACCAACTGAGTTCTGTAAAAGAAATAAAATTAAATTTAAAAATTCTGTGCTTCTTGGTGCAATGGTGAAGTGTTTACACAGAGCAGCAGAAGACAAGTATGGAAACAGATTAAAAATGTATGTAGTAAAACATCTCTAGTATTTAGAGTTACCATTTTTAAGCAGTATTGGCAACATCTGTGGGCACTTGGAAAAACGTTGCACATGAATATCTTTGATTCCAGAAAGAAAACAAAGATATTCAACTTTTGTGTCACATTAAATCATCTTTGCTTGTGTCCTCGTCAGCTTGAATGGACCCAAAAGAGACCGTAAGATCCAGAAGGTGACCAACGCCATGAGGGCCTTCATCCTCACCAACCTGCTGCTGATTGCTTTCGGATGCTGCTGCCTCATAGACAGCCTACCTCTACAGGTAACACACACACGTTATGACGGTCAGACAATAATGACACAAGTAAAGAAGAATTAGGTCCAGATTTATTGATTCTACTGCTTCTTTTGTGTGTTTTCTACCTTAGATCTTGACCTTCATCCTCCACACGATGGTCCGAGGCTTCATCCACTCCTGCTGTGGAGGCCTTTATGCTGCTGTGTGAGTCATTCGTCATTCACATCAACTCTGTACAACACAATCCCATGTAGAGGAAACTGGATAAGTTCCACAAAATCTACATTTAAATCACACAACAATGGATAATGGTTTTTCTGCCAAAAGAGGAAATCCTTTCAGTTTCCACTTCAATAATAAGATAACTAACATGTAGTTTAAGAACTATACATTACTGAAGTCCTGGCATTGAGACATCGCTTTTCTGATCCATTTACAGTTACTACCTAACACCATATAAACACCAAAAGTCAAGCAGCACTTTACAGTGTGATAAAAGCAACCAGATGTGGTAACAAAAGTAGAGGATGGTCTGTCATGTGGGTGCAGAAACCACAACACTGCAACTGTTTACTATATTCTTTAAACTAAATTAACCCTCTGAACCCCAAAGGTGAAAGGTGTGTTATTTTTTCAAAAATGAAAAAAATTACACCTTTTATCAATGCTAGTAACTGTAAAAAACAAAACAAAACATAGAGGATCATCAGATTTTAAACTTTCTGACAGTCATTGAACTACTCATGTGTGATGTACAGTCCTTTCGATCAAAGTAACCTAATATTTTCAACTGGCAATTGACTAATTATACCCTAGATGTGTTTTTAAACATTCACAAAATTAAAGAATTTGCTCTGAACGGATTCTGTAAAAAAAAGAAAAAGTTCTGCACTCCTCGTCACAGGAAACACAACTGTTGGTCAGCTGTGTCAACATGACTAAAGTTCAGGGACCTTTTAGATGAACTGGGTTGAACTGCAGACTGTGTTTCCACAGAACAGAGAGGCGACAAATACAGAAACAAACTATATAATGTACGTAGATAAATATCTTTAGTATGTAGAGCCACCATTTTTTTCTCCCAATTTTGGCTCCACCTGTCGACATATGGAAAAATGTCATACATGATGTACTCAGATTTTTACAAGCAATGAAGAAAGTAACTTTTCTTTTTTGGGATGTATCATGTTCTACTGCACGGAGGACAATTTTAGGTTCTCACAATGGTTGGGCTGTTACTATAGAGGTGCAGGATTTTTCAATTGCAGCGAAAGATGAACCCACAGTGAGAAAAAAATGTGAAAGGACGTTAATGAACTGTTACATTATAGTAAATCTGGAGTTAAATAATACAGTATTATATGCATTGAACACCTATAGAGTGAGATATTGTTGTAGTTTGTTATCATACAAGACTACTAGACCCACAGTCTAAGTGCGTGGGCTTGCACACACAAAAAAAAATATGGCGTGATTTTATTTGAATAGCTAGAGTTGGTTTAAAACGTTACATCACCAACCAGAACCCTCCAGAGCCACATCAGCATTATAATAAATAATCACTCTGGAAATAATTACCATTTTTCATCACAAATGTTATCTCCACAACAAAAAATATATTTATATAATAAACCACAAAATCAACTATTTTACTGTATGTGCTGTCATTTTTGTGATTATTCTGGAGTTCAGTCTACTTTCACTGGGTATTTTAAACTCTAACCACCCAATACCTCTTCCACAGCTACCCGTCCAACCACTTTGGCACACTGACAGGCCTCCAGTCCATGATCAGCGCCGTGATCGCTCTGCTGCAGCAGCCGCTCTTCATCGCCATGGTCGGACCGATGCATGGAGATCCCTACTGGGTGAGGAAACACAACTTACCTCTGCACGTCTGCACACCTCACACTGAGACAGACGTAAACAAACTCTCAGCGTTGCTTATTGTGACATCAAGTGGATTCAGTCTTTCATTTGGTTTTGATTCTTGTTTCTTGTCTATTGTTTGTAAGCATATAAATAATAATATGAATAGCTGAATTATTATAATGAAGTATTATACGCAAAGCTCACAATAGCCTGTTTTACTTAGTTTTACTCGTTTCCCCTCTCCCTGCTTTACTAAAGACTAATAATTCAGTCTGTGATGTGTCTAAAGACGAAACTTTGAATTACAAATGATCTACTCCAATTATCTAACTAGCTGCAGCGTTGCACACTGTCAGGTTAAGTGTAAATGCATTCAAAACTGACAGTTGTTGTGAAGACAAATGAGCAAAAGTGAGCAAGAGAGGCCCGATTACATTGACAAAATAAAACACACGTGCATTTATTGAGCTGACATGTTTGTCTGATGAAATTATTCTTTGCTGGATAATATCTTTGCTCTGAAAAAATTAATGCCTATATCCTTTTTTTTTTCAACTGAACTTGTACAATTGCAACAAATGAGACAGAAATATGAAGCTTTGTGTTTGTCTTTGTAAAAGTCTCGATTTTAATCAGTGTTCTTCAAGACATGTGACTCTAAAGATGGCAGAGTTGATCCATCACTTTGCTCCAGACTGAAATATCTCAACAACTACTGAATGGATCATAGTTTGTACAGATGCTCATAGTTTCCAAACAATGGATGACTGATGACTTTGGTCATTTTCTAACTTTCCTTCTATTGCCACCAGCAAGTTGACATTTGTGGGGTTTTTAGTTTTCTGTGCTGACAGTTTAATTTTGCTTCTGATTGATTTGTGATAGTCTCTTCACAAAGGCAAACTGAAAAATGTTAGTACCGAGGCAGTTCTCCTACTTTGCTCCACTTGATTTTCACTGTTTGTGGACATTAGAAAAATTACAAAAGTTTTCTTGTTTTTGGTTTAAAGCCAAAATATGAAAAATTGGATTACATCACACCAAAAAACAAGTGTTGCTGAGCTGATATTCAGTTTTAATAGCCCATTCTCTCACTTTTCATTTCTGGTATTTGACTAGTAACATCTCAATTTGTCCTAGAGGATACAAAAATAATGGCATTCCCATCTGCTTCACTTTGTTGTTTGTTCCTAATTAGGAAATGTCAGAATGGCAGCATGCTAAACTAAGTGGTGAATATGGTTGTACTTGTAAACATCAAAAAGCTACTTTTGTCATTTTGAGCATGTTAGCATTGTAAAAAGGATTTTTATTCTTTTTTTGTTTTCTGTTGACCAGTTTTAGCTTTATGCGTTTTTGCTAAAAGTGTCATTTTATATTATTTCTGGGTTGTTTCTAGCTATTAGTTTTCAAGCATTTCTAGTTTAAAGTGGAACTAAAGAGAAAATCTTATCCAGCCACTGTGTAAAATCCTCATTTTTAGCTCTGTCCTGAATAAGTGTAGAGTCAATGTGTCGTTACATTTACTGACAAAGCAAAAATTCATGGCTATAATTCTACCTTTGGTCTTTTAGATCAACCTCGGCCTGCTGATCCTCTCACTGACTGGTTTCCTGTTGCCGGGTTACCTGTTCTACCACCGCAGTCAGCTGAGGAAGGAAAAGAAGGCCAGAGACCAGCGGGCCGGAGGTCAAGAGATGCAGGCGCTCAACCACACTGAAGCCAACGGCTACAAACCTCACAGCAATGGTCTCGCTGCCGTGGAGGCTTAGACCTCAGCAGGGCTCACCACTGGGGGAACTGTAGGATTCATTTTCATGTGTGCCTTCAAAATGAGCACCAGCAACCTACTCATCCAGACAGTTTTGTTTTGATGTCCAGTGCATTATTTAATTTTTTTTTTTTTTTGGTCATTGCTGGTGCCAGTTTTGCTCATCACAAACCACATCACAGAGCAAATACGATCTCCCCGTGTATTGTCTGGACTCAAAGTCAGACTTTGAGTTTTTGGTGATTTGGGGAGAAGATGTGTCGTCATCTTTTGTTGCTGTTTATTTATTTTGGTTTATGTCAAAGAGCCAAATTAGTGTCATTTAAACATAGACTGTACACAGTCTGTGGATTTAAAGCCATAGATTTCACTCACAAGCACATGCAAAGACAGACTGCGGACATCACAATCAGCTCGCTTACACCAAAGAACAGCTTGAAGATTTTAGGAAAGCTACACTTTGTGTTCAGTATTGTTTCAAAACCGTGCATAATGAACTTTAAGTATATTAATTGTGCTATTTCTACTGTAATTCCCCAGTAAAAGCTATAAATATAGAACCATAGGACACTATTAAAAGCACACTAGCTATTAAAGTACACTTAAAGGATGTGAACATCTGAATATTGGATTTCTGGTACGTATGAAGGAGCTTTTGGGGCATTTTCAGCCCGGCTTTTCCCACAAACACACGCACAGATAGGCTGGTTGTAGAGACACCACATCTACCTCCTGTTTCCTAATTTTGTACTGTCTCTCTGCAACCGACTCCTACTGTATGTCTGTCCGTCATTGTTTTTGTCTTGCTTTGTTCATTGACATTAGGAAATATAAATCATTTAAAATTGAAAAACCCCTTGTATAAAAAAAAATATAATCAGTCCAGAGTTTTCTCCTTGTGCTTTCATATTCTTCAGAGGTTCTTCAGCCTTTACATTTCTGGAATTTTTATATATAGGAAAAACATTTTTTAAGGTAAATTTCACAAGGAAAAATGTGACTGATTTTGTTAATTCAGACACACAGTGTGTGTCAGTGTTATGGAACACTTTGTACTGCTTTATGCACAGAAATTAACTAGTGTGTGTATAAAATATGTATTTAAGTGTCTTTTTTTATACTCTAGCCGCAGTAGCATTAAAAAGGGAAGCATTTGTTTCAGTATCAGCAAATGTTATTTTGTAGTGGGCTTGTTATAAATGAAGCTCAGATGATTTTTTTTTGTGTATTCTGCTTATGCCTTTTGCCTTTTTTTGGTCATGTATGGATTTAGGAGCAAACAAACGTTTTTTTTTTTTTGTAAATAGAACTGAGGCGTGGTTTGTATTTTATTATTATGCTTGCTTTACTGTAAATGGGTGTGTACAGTGTATTACTGTTTTTTAACTGAAGGCTGAGGAGACACTGGCTGCAGTTAAACTTCTTTTTTAAAAACGTGATTTCACATTTCACACTAAAAAGACACAGCTAGCTGCAGCTGGTGATCCCCGTGTTCCAGCCAGATTCAGGTCAAAACAAGCAAAATGTACATTTCTTCCAAAGTGACAACAAAATGTATCACATACATGTTTGTTCTGCACACAGCAACAGCATCATGGAGATTTGTGAAAGCTGTTGTAATGTATGTTTTTTAAAAATATTTTGACTCAATCCATTTCAGTGCCTGCTTTACAGCTTTTTAATAGATTTTGCCTTTCTTGTCTGATGCATTTATTTCCTGTTTCCTAGTTTTTCTTCATATATGAAGCGTGTTCCGCTCTTGAATCTTTGCACTCTGGCTTTGAAAGAAAGAAAAAAAATCTGTTTGATTTCAACTATGTGCCTTTGCTGCCATCGTGGCTTTACTGCAATACAAGTGAATGTAAGATGGACATTTCTGCCAAACATCTTTCTCTGTAAACCAAAGCCATCTTTAGGGACTGTAAACATAGTTGGTAGTACAGCACTTTTCCTCAGGACAGCACAGGATCAAAATGACAGAAATATCTTTACATACCAATACTATGCATTAGTCCAGCAGTAAATACCAGCTTGGTTGTAAATGTTTGCTTTTATTCACCATCACTGGTGTTGATTCTGCTTGGTGATCTTTTTGGAGGCTGTATATTACACTTGCTGAGTATACAAGAGTGCATTTCATCAGAGTTTTTCCAGGCTGGCATTTGCTTTACTTTGCTTCCTGTACCAGAAATTCCAGCAGCGACCACCTGTTGCCTTAAAGTCCCTCATAAATAAGTGGCTGTCGAAAAAAAATGGCATTAAAATGAATGTGCCTCCTGTCTCTGTAAGTCTTGGTACTTGGGATTTACAGTAGTTGCTGCCTGAATTGTTTGTGTATGAAGTTTAACCAACACCTCTTACAGTCTGTACAAGAAATAACATCCTTTGCTTCATCTGCATTTTAAAACTATATCAACTAGAGTGGTCTATCTGCTTATCGTTTTTTTAACAATCGAGTTGAGGTGTTGGTAGATCTTGGTAATTGTTCACCTTTCTTTCCTGCTCTAAATCAATATATCCAGCATGTGCATTTGATAAACAAATAAATGTATAAATACAAACATCTGAGTGGCATTTTTTGGGCATTTACTATCACTTGCTGCTACAGTGTTGAGACAATATTTTAAACCGTGTATATATGTCTATACACCTGATGATATAATCTAAAACACCTAAAAACTGTATAAAAGGGTTTTTTAAAGACATGCAAGACAAAAAATAATAACCAAAGTTTATTGATTTTGGCATTATGGTCAAAAGATATCACAATAAAATTAAAGAGAGACATACATATGGTGCCTGCTCAGTCATCCACAACACCACACAGCTTGCCTGCCTTGTACACTGATCTGTAACACTCCTTTCCATCCTCTCCCACGTCCACTGTGTTGCTGCTCACTCTCGCACACATCATGCACACAACCATTTGATTCTCTCATTAGACATACTCTTAATAATACAATTTACCTGTAAAACACGCACGCATTCCCTTACAAAAAAGTCACACATTCAAACACAGGCATGCACACAGTGGGCTCCTGTCTATCTGAGGCTGTTGCTGTTGGGTTGTGATCCTGCGAGACCCGGGTGGTCGGGACTGTGGCGGTTCTGGAGGGCGAGAAAGAAAGAGAGAGAGGGGGCTGTAATGTACTAGTTTATATGTGCACAGCCATTGTGGGTTTCACTTTGCTGGGTGATCACCAAGAGGCAGGAGTTCAGTGGGCGCACACGTTGAATATATTGTGTAGCCGGTTTAATGTAAAGTCGTCTTTCCGTATAAATGCCAAAAAAAAAACGCCAAAAAAAAGTAAAAACACGATGCGAATTAGGCTTTTTTTCTATTAACTTCTTTGGAGGGAATAAACTAGGCAACAAAGTGTCATCAGAAAGTGTGTGTATAGGCAACGTTACACACGGCTGTGAGATACACAGTAAAGGATGCTAGAATCAAAATCGGTTGTTTGCCAAAAGCTAAAAAAAAAAAAAACTCACAAGGAAATACACTAATTCTCGTCATTTACAAGAAAAGAATGGATAGTGATCTTCAGGAATTGTTTTCAGTTGTACAAGTTGTAACAAACATGTGTTTCCATGCCACATTATTACTTTTTGTGAAGAAGTCAAAAAACCATGTCAAGTGAACGTAACTTTTTTTTTTTTTTTTTTTTGCAAAATTGGAGCAATTTTCTTTAAAGTTTTAACATTAACATTAAGTTTTAACTTTTCCTAACACTATAATTCAAAATTTGTGTTAAAAATATGTTATGTAAACATATTTTGGGGCTGTATGGTTTTCTTGTCCTGATTTATGCCTTTCCACAAATTTATCATGGAACTTTGAACTTCATGGTTTTTGTGCTTAAAGTTCAGGACAAACCCAACCATGGGACGTTATGTGCACAGGTGTGAGTGCACCTTTTAACACTATACTCATTCGGTTCAATTTGTCTCTGGTGAACTGAATACGATGCATTTGAACACATTCTAAATAACTGCCACAAAAGGTTTGAACACTAATCTAAATGGCAGGCTTAAATATTTGACTTTCAATAAATGTGCTTCTAAAAATGTGTTTTATTGAGAGCAGACTGACAGGCCAAAATCCCAATTTTATCCATTCAATATTAAATCTACACCACAATAAAGTGTGCAAAAAAGCAAATGGGTTTGAATACTCTGTAAAGCGACTCTATACTTATTAGCTGTTCAGAAACATAATGTGATGATAAGGTCACTATGTGTTACAAACTGAATACGTAAGTCACAACTTTACAAAGCAATAAGACATGGCTGTGGACTGTTGGACACTGTTTCACTCTATAGGGGAGAAAAGTATTAAACAAACTTGACATTAACAATAAGTTAAAACCTGCAAATACTTTGATATTTGATTGAATATTTTGTATTATATTTAAGTGTTAAGATAAGACACAGGAAATAGATTCAGTGTAGTTATGGTCAGGATGAGGGTCTAGGACTGATTTTCATCTTTGTCCATGACTGCATTAAAATCCATATTGATGCCTAACTGGAAACTAAATGAATTACCAGGATTTCGACAAATTCTCTTACCTTCTTCTTTTTCTTGTCTTTCTTCTTTTTCTTGCGGTCGGGATCGTCGTCCCTCTTTTTCTTCTTCTTCTTGGGATCAGAGTCTGATGGAGTTTCTATGACATTACAAGCACACAAGTCAGTGATCCAACCATGTGATATACCCGCTTTGCATTTGTGTATATGTGCAATTTGTGTCATACCTTGTGGTAATGGGTCCTGCGGTCGATGGTGCTTGTGCTTGTGTTTGCTCTTCTTCTTTGGAGGCTGTATGTGCATCAATCTGTACTGTTCTGGGAGCTGATAGAAGACAAAATAAACATGGATGTAAGTATTGAACTGGACAAAAGAGTTGAGAAATTAAAGATTTTCATTTGTAGCAGGCCAGAATATTTTTTTAAAATATTCTAATTACACTAATTACATAGTTTACGTAATCTGTGACAATGTGCTAAAAATGTGTGCTTTTAAAACATGTGGTTGTATGTCTTGTGTATTGCATTGTATTGTCATCAGTACCGGTCCTGTGTGTAGTCTGAAGCCTGTGAGCAGAGCGCCAGTCAGTGGGCTGAAGGAGTTCCCACAAACTGGAGGCTTATCAATCAGTGAGCGCAACGAGCTGCCATCCTGAGTGCCCGGACAGTCGATCATACCTGCAGCACAGAGGACAAAGGACAAGATGGAGGATGAGGTGACAGAAAGCAAAATAAAATGATTTAGATGTGTTCACAGCTAAATAAATTACAACATACTGCAATATTTTCTAATGCGGTGAGTTTTAAGATCAGATCAGATCCCCACACTGGACTCACAGACCAGTTTAACATGTTACACATATGGAAATCTCAACATTTACAGGAAACAGCTGTGGTGTGGCTCTTGGGATACCAGCTCCATGAGTTGAATTAGGGTTTCTGTCACAACTTCACAGAAGAGCCTTAAAAGGTCAAAACTAAGTACTTATTTGTACAATATTAGTATCACCATGGGACCTCATGTAATTCAAAAATTACTCCCATGTCTGTGTTTTAAGTGTCGCATTTGCGTGGGGTGGGTGAAGTCTGTGTTTCACTCAATTTCACTGACATTATCTGAGGACACGACAGGCTGACACTTTATAACTGTTGAGCTTATTGAAAGACAGCAGCATGTTCTCTACAGCGAGCTGCCATCCATCTAAACATCCATTAAAATTTGCTGTGATGGACTTCAACATGCTCTCCTCTGTGAATAAGTCCAAGTGCTGTGTAGCAACATAAGCCTTCTGAAATTGCAACCAAAACACTGTCCAAACTTTGATCTAGCATTGACAGCACAGCCTACATAATTCTTGAGCAGCAAAGAGGCAGAAAAAAGCCGCAGAATAAGACCTATCAAGAAAAATAACCCCAAATCCCTGATATACCAGTGTCTAATATTATCACAGGACCTCTGTGTAAATAGTGGGTAACTTACTGTGGATTTCATTATTCATTTTTAACAAATAACGAGCATGGCAGATTCAGAGGGGATTAAAAGCACAGAGGTCCTCAATAATTATTAAAAATGACCAGATTCCCCTTTTAATACTAGTCTCATGAAGAAATATGCAAAGGAACTTCAAACGGATCATGGTACATTATTTTAACTCCACGTACTCCCATCATTACTACTTGGCTGTCAGACCACATTTGTGCACCACTCAGGACCTACCTGGTAACTCTGGCAGAAAGTTGCTGAGCTTCTCTTTCACTTTCTTCCCACAGAACTTGTTGTAAGCGTGTTCCAGGTTGTAGTGCGTGATGAGGTTGGTGTTCCCAGTTAGCTCGTTTCCCACTAAACACACACATATATCATTTCATGTCAGTCTATTTCACGCAAACACCACAAGTTATGTCATAGTAATGCACACATCAGGCAAAACGTGCATTCGAGCTGGTGGAAGAGGTGAACATTTCCAACCAAATCTAACGTTAGTTCACAGATGCTCATTCCTGTGATTATAGCATTTATATAACGTTTTGTTATAACACAAAAGTTAAAATAGGAAATCAAATTGGAAATGTTTTTTTCTACTCGTTTTCTGATGATAAACATGGAAGCTAATGACAGCAATTAGCTTGCTCAATATTTTAGCCAGGACTTGCATAGGTAGCTCACACTAGCTAGCATTGTTTACAAACTGCTTAGCAACCTCTGATAGCAGCTAAACTAAACTATTTGAATAAAAAGACAAACTACAAAGAAAGCATCCAGCAGCTATTGTAATCCGACAGTACCAGGAAGCTCCCGTAGTAAGTAGAAAGGCTCGTTCATAGCTCCGGGCTTCCGCAGAGCAGGCCCTTCATCCCCGAGCTGCGGTGGCATCTGTCCCGACATGGAGACTTGATTTTGCGGCATCGGCGGCGCAGGTTTCCCCGGTCCGAAACCCAGAGACGACGAGCCGGGCGGTCCCTGAGCGTCGTTTTGCCCGAACAGAGTTGAAAACATTTCCGTCATATCTACTACGAGTGATACATTTAAATGGAAAGAAAAAAAGCCGGTGTCTTGTAGCTTATGGGCTGCTATCTGTAAGAAAGTGATTCACCGTGAATCCATCCGAGCGTCAACTACTCGACTCTTCACTTCTTTGTGGCATTATTTTCATGGCCCACCTACCGTAATACCCGGCGCAAACACGCACAATACCATAATGCTCGTTATACACGGACATCATTACTGAAACAATTTTAAATTTCCAACATTTCAAGTTTATTTTCACACAAAAAGCCACAGTAAACAAAATCGATATGTACAGTTAAGTTAGTTGACCCATTGGTTAATGTGAAGATCACACATCAAAGACGTCAGCAGGGCAGAGAGAAGTGGCCAGTCTCTCAAATTCAGTCACCGATGCCTAAAAGTCAGGAGAAAAAAAAACAAGAAAAACTGTTAATAAACTTGAAGTGATAAACTTCCCTTTCCCCCACTAAATTCTATTTATGTCAGTGGTCCTCAGCAGTCTGTATCCTTTCTCATATATTTATCAAAAATAGCTAATAAAGCTGCATGACAGAAAGCACCGCAAACCTCCTTGCATTGCAGAACTGACAGTAACAGCTCATTGAAATTGTATTCAAGAATTTAACAAAACACGCAAATTAATTTGAGAAAATTACAGGTCCCTTGTTTGATCTAGGAGCACAAAAATCTAAACCTGCAGCTCCAAAGGTGTGGGTCGACTTGAATAATTCAATAAACTTTCGACTTCCAATTGCGACTAAAAAGCTAAGTTCATATCTTGCCGCCTAATACAATCTGTTTTACTCTCCGAGACTATTTGTACTTTCAGTCACCCATTCCTGATAAAGTACCTTATCTGAGAAGTAAAACACAGATTATTGGAACTGTTGTTATATTAACTACCATGTGCAGTTTAAGAAAATAAATTCCTAAGAATGTATTTTCCACAATTTATGTAAAAGAACTTTGGTATATTTCTTTTGAACATATGTGTTAAATCTAAAACCACATCTTTAAGAACAAAGACACTGTTTACACTTGCTTACAAGCATCCACTTTGTATGTGCAAAGAAACATGGTGAGTGTGAGTATTTCAGGAATGTTATATTGTCCAGCTTTAATGTCTCTTTTGCAGAGCTTCCATTGTTTCTCTCTCACCTTCCACTCATCAACTGCTGTAGAAATACGCTGCTCAGCCTGAGCAATACTGTCTCTACCGGCCTGAACCTTTTGTGCGAGAGCAGCATTCTCTGCTTGAATCTTTTTCAGCTCCAGTCTCATGTAGGCTTCCTGCTTTTGATAGTAGGGCATCAAAAAACTGCAGAGGTCCTGTTCAGGATCCCCAGTTGGTCGCCTAAGAGAACAATGGAGATGGCAAGCGATTAAGAGGCTTTGACTTTTCATCATGTTGCAAAATAGAAACATTACAGTGGTGATATGCAGAGCTTTGAAAGGCAATGTGTCTATATTAGAGGTCCTACAGTAAGACACAAGAGTGTAAAATACACTGTATACAAATTGTCAGACAAGAGATTCCTTCGTGATTAACACAACAATGACCAGGTAAATTATTATTCAATATCCACCATCAACTGCCCACATAATTAGACAGAGTAAAATTTAAATATTCTCATTATGTCCGAAAGATCTATACAACAACAGTTTCAACATAAAAAAATATTCATTTATTTAAATGAGGGAAGGGTGGACAGAATCTCAGCAGTTTGAAATGTATAATGCGAATGCTGTATTTCTGTCATAAATAAACTTGATGCTTGTTAGCATTTGTCTGTGCTGGTTATTCAAATGTCAGAGTTGTGAAGCTTGACATGTGACCAGTAGATTGTTTCACTGGTGTGACAGCAGAAGGAGAAGAGTTTTTAATGCTGTTTACTGACCATGCAGGGTCTGGATTGTTCTTGGCAGCGCTTTCCAGTTTGTCCAGCTCTTTCAGTTTGAGCTCTAAGTGGCCCTCCTCAATCAGCCTGCCGATGTCCTCCTTCAAGTACACAGAATCACAAATGCTCACATGAACAAGTGAAAACAAAGACAGGTGGACCAGTTCATACTGCATACACACACCTGTATAGTCCTCTTCAACTCCTCTATGAACTGCTTGTGAATACTCTCCATTCTCTGAGGGTTCTTCTCATACAGTGGACGAAACGCGCTGGCAAATCTGTTAAAGCTGTGAATAAATCAGTGTCAACCAAAAGTACAGCAAAGTGGGGCTTTACACTGGTACTTAAATGATTAGGTAAGTTAGGTACAGCCATAGAAAAATAAATAATAACATTTACTGAGCAAATGTAAGTCAGTTATCAAGAGAAAATACCAAAGATTCAGTGTCAAGTGTGAGGATTTAGTGCATTTCTGCATTACACTATTGAAATATATTTGGGTGCTGCACTGTGAGCTTGACAAAAAGCGATATGAAGGTTTCATCTTGGGAGGTAGTATCTGAAGATTTCTCACTATTTTCAGTGACTTTCAAGACTAAATAATCTACTTTTGTTTAATCCTATATAAAAACTGAGGAATTAGTTGATAAATAAAACATCCTGAATAAAAATATAAACACAATATGTAATATTTCAGTATGAAGTATTTGTTGTTCCAACACAAAACAACATCTCTACAACACAGTGGATGTCACAAAACAACCAAGTATGCAGTACACTGAAAAAGATGATGGGCAGATGGAGAATGGGGTCATACACCAGAAATCATAGATTGGTAACAAGTGACACATCTGCAATGCACAGAGTTAATGAGGTTGTTGATGGTGCTTGTGGAACATTGTTCCACTTTTCCTGAAGGGCATGGCAAAGTTGGGGGATTTTCAGAGGACGGGATCAAGTTTTTAAACAAGTCAATCCAGAACATAATGTGGCAGATTTTGCCAAATGGTGAAGTTGTGGGAAACTCAAGTGTCTGACTGCAGCCCTAACTGACATGTCAGCATCCAGCATACCAACAACCCATTCTGGTCTTTCTGTTGTCATCTGTTGTGACATTTGATTAAGGCTGCATTTTAGGGTAGCCTTTTATAGTCACTTGTTAAAAGGAGCATCTATGTACTGGTCATGCTATCTGATCATTGTCCTTTGAAGCCACAACTGACACATGTGTGGATTAACTCAGTGAGTGAGGATTTGTCACCTGCTGAAGAGCTAAAACACATTTTAAGCCTTTCAAAACTTTTTCCTAGTATACCATAATAAAATTGAGATTTAAAAAAAAAAAATAAAAAAAACTTTTTCAGTCAGACAAGAAGACCCTTTACATACTGCATGTATATATTTGTTCAGTGTAATAAGGTGTTGCTGGTCAAAACAAACTCTTGAGTTGTTTTAGAAAATAAAACAATTTGTACAGACCAAGGAATATCAGGTCGGTCAGGCAGGTAGGTCATTTAGTCACTGTTTCGCCCCCCAAAAAATGCACTCTTCTTTTTAGTAGGTCAGGTGAAACAACTTACAATAAAATGGGCAGTTTTTCAACATAGTCTGTCAGTGGATTCATCCTATTGATCCGATAGATGTGTTAATGATAGCTAAAACATCGGACGCTCAGATCTAAACAATAACATCAATATTATTTGCAATATTACTTCTCAGTAGTTTGTGAAATGTCAGTTTCTGTATCATGTGTAGCATTTAATTTCACGTGGAATATATAATGTGCAACATTTCACATTTCATTTCTCAGGTGAAATATTTCATTATGATGTGCAACATTTCATTTTCATCATTTTGATTACTTGGGCAATATTTCACTTTCATGTACAACACTATCGCTCACCCATCAGTATCTTTTTTTTTTTTTTTTAATCTTCTACTCTGGTACTATTTTAAGTAACTTCTTATGTATCAGTAATGTATAGTACTTATATCTACTTCCAGGTGCTACATTTCTTATGTTATTTCATTTGTTTTATGTGAGCAACACCGGACACAAGAATTTCTTTCTGGATTTATAAGGTTTTATCTTATATTGTCTTAAATACACTGCCAAGCTCATCATATACAAAACCTTTCTCTATCTTCTACACTGTCAGTCAGCCGTTTAACTCACCTGAGTTTGTGTTAATATCATTACATTGTGATTTACAGTAGTAATATTCGCTATACTCCTGCATACATGTCTTTGACTGTCAGATACACACCACCAACTCATACCTTACCTGGCATACTCGACGAACTTGTTCAGACTCTCCTGCATCACTTTGTTGAACAGCTTCAACCGACTGTACCGAGCCTCCGTCTCCTCCGTCGGTTTACTGGGTGCTCCGCTGTTCTGTGAGGAAACTTCTCCCGTGGCTTCATTAGTCTTCTTTTCAGTACACTCGTCCCCACATACGCTGGGCGCAGCCTGCGTTGCCTCTTTACCTTCCTCCATTTTCAGCTCCCTCTGTTTATGTTTTGCAGTACCCGCCAAATCTACGGCGAGCAGCTGCGGACAGAAATGGGAAGAGTCGGTGGTGGTGCGCATGCGCGGTGAGACACGGTGGCTCCGGTTACTTCAGCTGTCATTGCTCCTCCAGCGCCGTCGCGGTGTGTCGCCAGCATGGGTCTGATCACGGGAGTCTGTACCTTCTTGTACCATTTACCTCAGATATACAAATGGCTGCTGAAGCCGTATTATATCACCTCTGTCCTCATGACTGTCGCCTTCCTGGTGGTCCGGAAGGCTCCTGGTCTGTGCGAGCACCTGGCGACCCAGCGGGAGGACGGCAACTCCTGCGACTTTGACTGGGTGAGCATGGCGGGGCCGGAGGGGCGCTGCGCTGCTGCCTGCCGGTAAATACGGTGCAGCTCGGTCAGCCGCTGTAAGGTGAGCCGAGTCAGTCAGTCGAGTCAGTAGTTTCATAAATATATGTTGTCTTTCTGCAGAGAGAGCTGGAGATTCTCATGTTTCTCAGCGCAATAGTGATGATGAAGAACAGAAGAGCCAGTGAGTAAAACCCTCACTGCACGCACACACACACACACACACACACACACTAATGTGTATGTGTAAACCATCCCATGGTAAGTGATTGTTTACACTGTTAACAGTCACATCACGAAAAGTGGCCAGTGTACCAGGCTGCTTGGTGCAGTTCCCAGGATTGAATTAAGTGTATAAGGTGCTCCCTGTTTAAACCTTATATTTAACCTGAACCTTACAAAGTTTTGTGAGTTTGTTACATATATATAACAACAAAAACAATAATTAAACCCTATAGACACCTACATTTTTTTAACAGTTTTAGGTGTGTTAAACGTTGTCTAACAAGAACACTAACTAAACCTTTTGTGTATTTACCCTAAACTTTAATCAGTTTTGTGACTTTGTTCAACATTTTATTTAACAACAAAAACAATCATTCAATCTTGTATATAACTGAAACTTTCAATAGTTTTGCTAGTGTGTTCAACATCATATCTAACAAAAATACTAGTTAAACCCTATATTTAACCTTAACTGTAGACAGTGTTGC